AGAGAGAGAGAGAGAGAGAGAGAGAGAGAGAGAGAGAGAGAGAGAGAGAGAGAGAGAGAGAGAGAGAGAGAGAGAGAGAGAGGTGGTGTGGTGAGTAGCAGGGAGTGTGTGTGGTAGTTTTATCCTGGTGCGGAACTCGGATCGAGCCAAGATGGTGTACTCCGTATCACCAAGGCTGAAACTGCAAGTAAAACTTTATGTGGTGTTAGAGTTAGTGGAGAACGCCATGGGTTATTTGGTGGTGCTTGTCCTGTCAGTCGCTGTGGGCGCATTCGGGCAGTTCATGTCAAGGAAGACCCTGTGGCCCTGCGTGGCATTGACAGTCCTCGAGGCAGTGTCCAAACTGCTACGAGGTTTCATTCACAAGGTCTATTTCAGAGGCATGTCATGCCGCCAGGTGGCCATCGGGCAGGGCAAGTCGTACCGTTTCAAACTCGGTACATATCAAGTGCTTGGGGGAAAGTTCATTTCCACCTTTGCCTATGTCGCTCTGATTGCTGTGATCCGATTATTGTCTATGATTCTTCAAGTTGTCCTCACATGGTATCTGTACAAACATGTCCCTGTCATTAAGACTCACCCTGAGTATCACACAGACTGGGGTGTACAGCGTCTCGAAGAGTTCTTGTACGCCACGTGCCTCTGCCTTATTGTGCACTCTGGTATGGTCTTCTTGTTGATCTACTTCTCTCTCCTCTCTTGCCTCCTAATGCAATGCATACGGCTTTTCGCATGGTGCTGCGGTTGTGCACGTTCTGCCGCCTCCGCAAGTATCCAATCGAGGAACATTGGCGGCCCCTTCTTAGAGCGATTGGATCGGTTCCAAAGGGAGATGGAGACGGGTATCACGTGGTACGTTCATCGGCATCGGCATTTCGAGTTCGGTGCCAACGAAGCTCAAGCGCACGAAGACAAGTGTGGCCTTCCGGGGTACTGGTTCTATAGCGTGAAGGAGTTGTTGGGCGTTGTGGGAAGCCACCTACCCTATCTGAAAGACGAGCATCGTCGATGGGATGAGCGACGGAAGGAGATCAAGACGGGAAGGAAGCTTACCATGGCCCTGGAGTCGTTGTTCGAGCTGTCGAGAGCGTGCAAGGCCTGCGACACTTGCAATCTGTTTGTGTCCAATGAGATGGCCTGCTACATGCAGGATCTTCCACAGACGAGCCGCTGCAGACACGACATGGATGCTGGACGCGACTTCGCTCAAGCCGAAGGCTATCTTGCGATGCTGCAGGTGCTCCAGTGCTGCCCGCGCGACTCCGTCGACGCCGAGCTTGCGGCTTTGATCCTCTCCGGATTCGCTGCGGGACTGTCTGTCCTCCCGTGGCAACCGGATCGTGACCACAGCGACACCGATTTCATAGTGCATATGCTCGGCGACGACGACTTCAGGTACTGCACCAAGCATTCGCTCTACGTCCTGCTCGACCTGCTGGAACCGTACGCATCCGGGAATGCCGATCCACGAAGCGATGAGAAGCTGCGGGTTCAGGAAGCCGCTGCCTCTGCAATCTGCGCTTTCGCACGTGCTGCTAGCGATATTCATGCGCTAGTTAACTGTCCTGTTGGGAGACATCTGCGGTCTCAGCACTCGGGCGACGATGACCCCGCAATGAAAGGGTACGTCAGCATGCTCAGCTATGGATTCACGACCATCTGTCCGGTGGGATGGCCGCTAGACATGCCTTGGCCTAGCGGGCTCGTGGACGTCGACGAGGTTTGGGTCACGACTGTGAAGGAGTTCCTTAGCGATCAGCGGACGCTGTCGACTCTGCTCAACTGTGTGCAGCGGGAGGCGTCTAGCAGTATCGCTGCGGACTGCATCAGGACTCTGTCCTGGCTGTGGACACGTAGGGTGATGTACTGGCATAGGCACGACTTGAGGATGAAGCCTGCGAGAGCGGCCCCTGCTGCCGCCGAATGTCAGCATGATTTGCCTCCCGCTCTTTTCCGGATGCATGGGGAGAGCAGAGGGGTGAACCTTCAAGTGCTGCGGCGTCTGATTACCTTGTGCCTCGACAAGCCGGAGTCTTTCTCCGCCTTCTCGCAGCTGCACTTGGCGAAGATCTTCATCTCGCAGGAGCTGAGAGAGGCCGACACCGACGTTGCCAAGCTTCTGCTAGAGTGCCTGAAGTACTGGCGCCGCGCGCTCGGGACGCGGGAGCTCGATTGGTTCGCTATTGAAACCGTCGAAGCGATGCGCGATCTCCTTCACGTTGCCTCTGACGACAGCAAACGAGAGGTCAAGCTCACTATCTGCAAGTCGCCCGGAGGCGTGGATTGCGTTAGGATAATGCTAAATGGTCACGTCAGTCGAATCCGAGCCGTCCGATTTTATACATGCATGGGGGACTTCGATAGATCGTTAGTCTATTTCCTCTCAGAGAACAGAATGAACTGCTGGTCAATGGAGGCCAACGATCACGCAATGCCATGCTCGGGGGCGGCTGCGGGATTGCTAGCGGACTTGTTGAAAGTCGGGGACATGCCCTTGCCCCCCATGGATCCCCTTTTGGGAGCACAGCCACGTGGCATTGACTTGGACCTTCCTGGCCACGACGACATAACCATGGTTCTTGCCCGGCAACCGAAGCCACGACCGCGATTGGACCGGATCCCGACTCGCCCTTGCCGCAATGCACGTGGACAGGATGCGGCGCGTGTACCGGTGCAGAGTGTTCTGCCGAGCGACCCCGGGCCCAATCCATACTTCTTTATCTCCTTGTTCAAGAGCCTGGTCTACAATCTCCTCGTAGCCGTGCAGCAGAATCGCCAGCGTTCCTCAGCCCCCGGACAAGACCGGGGCTTTTTGGTCCGCATGAAGAATCACTGGCGCACGTTCGGCGCCCGGATGGTTCTCATCTTCTGCGAGTCTCTGGGGAATCCCGCCTGGGTTCCTGCCATCAGCTTGTTCGAGGACTTGGAAGCAGCTTGCACGATAGACGAGAGGATGGAGGTCCTGGCACAGGGATTGAACTCCTTGTTGGCCACAAGGAATGCGATCCGAGTCATCAAGCTCGTGGTCGATGCTTACCCGGAGAACGCTCTCGATGCCAGACTCGTTACGGCGCTCATTCCTTCAATGGTGAACCTCCTCACCACGTCACCTGCCAGATTGCACAAGCGGCTTCATCTTGTTGCTCTGGAGAACAGATGCAATCATGAGATCAGGAACGGAATAGTGGCAGTTTTGCAGGACGTGGTTGGTCGGATCAGCGAGCTGGGGGGAAGAGATCCAGATCCAGATGAGTTGAAGAACAACCCAGCGCTGCCGACGATCGCCAAGCTGCAGGACGCGGAGAGGACATGGCGGGATTGGTGCGGAAACAACGGTGAGAATCCGATCCGTCCCCAGCCTCCCAATTTACCAGCAGGCGGGGCAGCGCATAACCCGCAGGCAGTTATTGAGCTAGTGCCAGTGGACCAGCTGGGGAGAGATGCGCGGACAGACGCGGAGCCACAAGCGGGAGCGCAACCGGTCGGGGAGAGCAGAGTACATCCGACCCCTCCGTCGGAGCCCTAGAATTCGCCACGTGGGGTAATCACGAGCTAACGAACCGGCTGGGATTATCCCGATGGTGTCAGTGGACCAACATGGAGCAGCTGAGGCGGAAGCGGCGCCCATGGACCAGCAACCGGGAGCGCAGCAGGGGGATGGCGGATCATTGCCCGGAGGACATGGAGGCCGTCGGAATAAGGAGGGTGCCATCGGAATAAGGAATTTTTTTCTCAGAGGAACCTGGTTGTAATTACGGCCAGATACGTACCGTCTTCATAAGCCCCCAATGAGGAGTTTTCAGGCGATCAACTCTCGTCGATAACTCGACCCACTTCAACCAGCCGATCCCTCGGCAAGTGCTCGTTCAGGTGATCCAGCGAACTTCACCCGATGTTTCAGTGAACTTCAGCTTTTGTTCATCCAGCGAGCGATCTTTCAGTGATCGCTCACCGCTCGTTCAGTGATGCTGACGAGGTTGTGACGCTCTACGGCGGGTGGGAATATCTGCCGATGAATTTGATTATTTTCGACACCCTGTGTGGCGAGCCTCTTAGTTGTGTTTTTTTTTTTTTTTTTTTAGTTTCATCCTCCTCAGATGTCTGACACAATTTGATTATTTGAGCTTTGTGTTTCACGTGCATAAAATTATTGGGTAAGTTTCAAAAATAGTGCGTCGCTTTACTTTCGCAGCACAAATAATGGCGGGGCTTAAGTTTCGTTGCAAAATATATCTTTCATTGCAGCTTTTTTTTTTTCAGGTTTTTTTTTTTTTTTTTTTCATTGCAGCTTTAGAGGTTCCTGTAGTTTCACAGCAAAATAATATATTTGCAGGCGGGGTCGCACTTTCCGTGCAAAAATACATCTTTTTTCGGACCCGTTCAACATTTCTGCTGCCAAACTTCGAAAACGCGGTATTTCTGCAAAAACCCTCAAATTATTTCCGCTGTTTACCTGGTTGTTCACGGGGACCTTGTCCCACATGCACGGTTGAGTTGAGGCAACTCAACGGTGTGACACGCAAAAACGCATTTTTTAATTCGAAAGAAATGGGATAATGTATTTATTATTGGGGATTCATGCGTTTCTTCGGATTTCTTTTCAATTTTTCATGCGCTGAGTCATGATGACATTCAGGCGTGCAGAGGAAAGTCGTTGCAATCTGACATACGCATTCCGCGTTACGTGGGCACCACTGTTGAGCGTTCCCCTCCTCAAAGTCGTATGCACAGCAAGGCACCCACTTGCATGGGCTGGGGCATGCAGACGTGATATCACCAAGGCCACCGATGCACATGAATGTGGACGGTATSGCAGCTCTATACAGTGGACAACCTGATCCAGCACAGGTAAGTGTGTGAAACGGGTACCTCTAGGCATAGCCGCCATCCCGTACATAACGGAAGAAAGAAAAAGGTCTGACACTGACAATGATGACGACCCTGGAAAAAAGCAACAAAAAAAATAGTGTGTGCACCGTTGAGCTAGCTGTCTCCTTTTTTCGTCTCAGCTTGCTCAACGCAAACGGGGAAGGGTAGGGGGCGTTATAATCGAGAGATTCGTTTTTTTCTTGATTATTATGAAACGGAAATAGGCCTGTTCAGAGGGAATAGCAAGAAAACTAAAATCAACCGTGCGATTTTCAGAACAGATCGCATCTCCAGCGTCGCGTGGGGTTTGAAAACCCCCCGCGGACCTGGCTCAACGGAGCAGGTGGGACAAGGCCCCGGGAGCATAAACGCCGCCGCGTTAATTAATAGGGTTCCGCAGTTCGATTACGGTGGCCAATTTTTTGTTGTTGCGCAGATCAGGATGATACGTTTTTTATAGAAATCCCTACCCTAAGGTTCTGTGTGACATAATGGCTTGGGTATGGGCAGCCCCGCTCACACGTGCTTCGATCCGAGGCATGATTTTTCGCTATCCTTTTAAATCTTTACGGGTTGATAATGATTTCTAAAAGTTAGTTTGTTCAATTTGTTAACCTCATGATTTTTTCTTAACTTTATAATTAATGCCTATTTAGATAGGTTTTGTACCGGCTGGGAGTACCCTTGACAGAGGGCCAACGCCGGCATTGCTATGGGGTTGGACCGGTTGCCTGTTTTGAAATGACAAATTGAATGGATTTTGAAATGGAGTTTGTAGCAGACCTCTGGTTGGCCTATGAGACCAGCCCCTTGGCCTGGCCTGTTCTCACAGGCCTGTGTTGTATTCGGGGTAGTCCAGGCCGGTACCTCAGCCAGCCCAGTCCAGTTCAGTCAGTCCGCTGGGGTACAGTCCGCTGGGGTATACCCCAGCCAGAGTCTGTACTTGGGATCATTCTACATTCACACAGTTTGGAGTATGTGTGTTGGATTCTTGCGTGGGAGCTGCGCTGTGTCATCTTCCTCCACCCTCATCAGGTGGAGCACCTCACCCGGTGGGTCCGCCACACTGGAATCGGAGCCCCCGCTCCCACCCACTACACCGCATAATGGCCAAAGACGGTGCAAAACCCGACAGCGGTTTTTTGGCTGCTTTTTCGGCCGTTTTCAGAGAAAAGCAGCGGGAAAACGTGATGAAAGGTGCATGTTGCATACTTGTGAGTACTTCAACAAGTATGGGAAGAACCAAGAGATCAACCAATATAGGATGAGCATGTATGCAGCAGAAGTCTGACAAATGGACTGACTCACATAGACTGACTCACACAGATATCACTCAACACACAAACAATCGTGAGATGGTGGGGTCTGAGCCAATCATAGACAATGCTCAGGCCCTGTACAATCATACACAGATGAAAGGTGGGAGGAGAGATGAAGGAGGTGGGAGATGTAGGCAGCACCAGAGGTCACCGAGATAGAGTCCAGTAGATCACCGATATGGTAGTCCAGAATGTCATAGAACAAGATCAAAATGTCGTGAACAATAAGTCATCAATGTCGGAGATACAGAGTCCTAATGTAAACGGTGTCCGATCTGTGATGCCGCCGAGTATCAACCCCAACAATCTCCAAGTCTCGTATCCGGTAAGTACCACAGCCTCTTACCACCGAAGTCCAACACTGATGTCTGTCCAACTACTATCAAGTCTCCAATCTGAAGAAGAAGAAGTCTGAAGAAGAAGAAATCTGAAGAAGAAGAAGAAGAAGAAGAAGAAGAGAACAGAGGAGGAGAGAGGTGAGGAGGAAGGGAGCCAGTGACCGTGGAGGGAAGAGAAGACCTCACCCCCAAGTACCTGGCTTGCTGCAACTGACTGAAGCCGAAGTCGGCTATGGCTGCCCGCTGCCTGGCTCCTCGCTGCGCTGCTGCGGCACCTCCGAGCTTGCGCTGAGAATAGCACAACACTCTGCTCCACTGGAACTGAAACGAACTGGCGCTACCGCAGCGTCCAGTTGCTCGATGCCTCGAAGTGAGGCCGGGCGGTACTAAGTACCGGTGGGGCAGAGGCCGGCCTCAATGCTGCGAGGCCTGACCGTGATCTGAATCGTCAAGATCGACGATTCAGATCAGATCGGCGGGCGGCAGCCTCAAAAGCGKCGCCAGGCTATTTGATACCCGCAGCTGCGGCCGCTGCGGCCGAGATTCTCGGCCGCGGACGCGGACGATGAGGCCCAGTTTTTAAATATATTTTTTCGACCTCAAAATACGTAAAAATATATATATATATATATGGGGGTGTAGGGCTTGGAAAACCCTACACCCCTTTATTTTTTTTTTGGAATCCGACTTTGTTCAGGATTTAAAAAAAAATCAAAAACTAAATTGGATTTAAAGAAAAACAAAAAAAAATACATTAAGAAAAGCAGGAATTTTTTTTTGTCATTTTTTATCATGAGATATATGGTACCTGAGCTGACATGTATTTTTTTTTTGAAATGAATTCGTTTTTTTGCAGGGGTATGAGGTATTTTAAAAAAATGCAGATGCAAAATTGGAAAATAAATAAACAAAAAACTTGAAAAAAGGGGTTTGTTTGATTGATTGATTGTGAGTGAGTGAGTGAGTGAGTGAGTGAGTGAGTGTGTGTGTGTGTGTGTGTGTGTGTGTGTGTGTGTGTGTGTGTGTG